AAATGAAACAAAACACGAATAAAGACCGCGCGACAGGAAGCCCAGCAGCGGCATTTCAGTGGCTTTAATTCACCAGCATTTTCCGCGGGTGACATGCATGACGACTTGAGTTTTATGAGGGCGACAATTTTGCCAGCGCTTAATTTTAAACGCATTTTTGGGTCTATAATTGTTGAAGGCTGATTTGTAGGTGTATAGACATTTAAATAAAATTCTATAAAAACTGCTTGCTTCGACACTGTAGCATTTTGAACGGGTATATTGTGGGGCCAGTCCCCCCCAAAATGGTGAGTTAGACTTTTCTTAATGAGCCCATAGCACCTTGGCTGGGGATGGCAAGGACCGGGGACACCCAGGAGCCTAGGGAGGTCGGTTACCAGGACTTCAGGAACCTGGATTGTTCTGTGGGGAGCCTGGGAGAGCCCGGGGGCTGGAGGCAGGGAGGCAGCGGCTGAGTCCTGTGCCTTCCCTAACTGAAGAAGACGGGCCTCCCTCATGGCCCAGCGGGGCAAAGCGCAGCACGACGAAGCTAGAAGCTCGCTGCAGCTGCCTCAGCACGAGTTTGATCCCCATCCAGAGGTGACCCTCAGAGCCAGCAGACCTCTCCTGACCCGCCCGCTGCTCCCCTCAGCAGTGTGCTTCGTCAGTCAGCCTGTTCTGCTCCCCGCTCTATCTCTGGTGAGTCCTCTCACCGCCCCTGCACCGCTGGCCTGTACCCCAGTTCTGTGTGCATAAATAAATCCTTTTAAAAAAAAAAATAGTAGGACCGGACCCTCCCTGGTGGCGCATCAGATTAAAGCCCAGCACTGAGAAGCTGAATCCACTTCTGCATGAGTTCGATCCCCGCCTGCCCCGGAGGTGACCAGAGGGCGCGGCAGACCTCTCCTGACCCACCTCTCCTGACCCGCCCACGGCTCCCCTCAGCAGTGTACTTCGTCGATCTGCCTGTTCTGCTCCCCACTCTGTTTCTGGTGAATCCTCTCACCACCCTTGCACCTCTGGTCTGTACCCCAGTTCTGTGTGCATAAGTAAATCTTAAAGAAAAGAAGAAGAGGAAACCCCGAGCATATGGTCTGGTGTCTTACCCTGTTACCAGAGCCAGTGAGGAGTAAGGAAGAGCTACCCCCCTCGACTGTCGCGAAGCCACCTAGCTCCGTCTTAACACCCCAGACCCTGAAACACGACTAACTATCCCCTAGGTCAGCAGCCTTATCCTGTAGCATTTCCAGTCACGCGCCTTCTCCTTACCTATTATTAAATTGTTACCTTCGCTCCCCTAGCTGACGCTGCTTTGATGACCACGTGGTGCAAGATGAACCCAGAGGGGCTCTTTTGACCCCCCCAACACCCCATAATTTGAATGGGACGGAGGGTGGGCCAGCTGCCTGGCATTTGTCCACTAACCGTGTGCCTTACTGATGCTCAGAAGCTCCCGACCAAGGGCCCGTCAGCTGCGCCGCCTGGAAAGTCCAGGTGAAGCTACTATACCGCGAACCCAGGGACCTCTATTCTCATCACCTGTGGGTGATGCTGCACGGAAGCATGCAACCTTTTGTCCAGAACTGAGAGCTCTGAAAAATTCAGATGTTAACCCCTCTCCAGCCAGCACCACTGGATCATATTTCAGGGTCACCCTGAAATATGAATGAAGAAGACAAAGAACAAAAAGGAAACTATCAAGCCACTCTGCAGAGGGAAAAAGCAAAGTTCCCAAATGAATGTGCGACTTGAAAATATAAACCGTCTCTCCTTTGCTGGGCTCCGTCATCCGTCTCGGGAAAGGATGTTTTTACGATCGGAGCAGAAGTATGACTGGTGCGCCGACATTTACATTTCTTGGTTGCGAAAATGAATGCGACTTGTTGAGGTTCCAGCAGCGGGGGAAGCAGCAGAAGTCGTGGTTACTTTCCAAAGTGAAACTTAAAACCTCCCTCTCCTGTGCACAAAAGGTGCGTGAGTGAGTCACCGGAGAGGCCACTCGTTTGCAAAGCTCATTTAAAGCCCTGCTTTTAGTGGACTTCCTGCAGCAGTGAACAGATCACCGCAAGAGAACACCGCCGCCTCCGGCTCCGGCAATTCGGGGCAGGAAGGGAGTCCTCCAAGACCTGGCGGGCCCAGGTCTGCCAGCGCGCCCGCGGGAGGGGCGGGCGGGGGCAGCCGCCCCGCCCAGCCGGACCACTCGCCCTGGGGGCCGGGCCGGCTGCGCCTCGCGGGGTGACCAGGACACGTTGGGTTCCCGGGGGCTCACCAGGAGCCAGGCTGTGGCCCAGGCATCTCCCCCAGTGCGCCCTGGTCAGCTGATGACACAGCTCTGGCCAGGCCAGGCTGAAGGTAGGTCTCAGCTGCCACCATTGCAGCGGGTCCGGCTCCCCGCGTGGCGTCCGGGCCTTGCCCGTGCAAGGGGACCCCAGGGAGGACCGGCTGACACAGTTCCAGGGGCCGCCCGAGTCTGCATTTCTAGCCAGCTCCCCGAGTCCGGGAGAGGCCTGAGACCCACAGGCCTAAATGGTGTGGGCCAGAACAGACGCGGTCAAGGCAGGGACGCCTGACCTTGGGCTGTGCGGCTGGCCACAACAGCAGCCGGAGCTCAAGCCCACTGGCCGGGCTCCAGCCAGGCGCTGCAGGGAGGGGCGGGCGGAGACCAACCAGGACTTCCAGGTCTGGCTGAGAAATCAGGGGATTGCGCCCCCCTGTGGCCGCTTGGGACAGTCACGTTCACTTTCTGGCTCCCCAGGGCACAGGGCCACCGCGGGGAGCAGCGGTCATCACCACCCTCCGCGGCCAGGGGGCCGGGACAGCAGACACCCACCTTCCCCTCCCCTAGGTCAGCGGAAGGGGACCCCGGCAGTGGAGTGGGGCAGAGCCCGGCCCCCGGGGGCTGACATGCAGCGTGGACGGTCGCAGCCCCCGGGGACAGTTGCCCCCACAGCCCTCCCGCGCCACGTGGGTGTTTGACTTCTTCGTGCTTCGCGCTCCTCCACGGCCCTTGCCTGCCCCAGGGCTGCAGGAAAGGACGCTCTGAGGTCCCCAGTCCACAGCCACTGACCTCATTGTCCGTGTTCTTTGGCCTCCATGTGATAAAAGCACCCGGGGATCGATGCTCGTAAACCAAGAGCGAAAACCTGTGCTTTCAATGCCCGCGGTGACACTGGGGGAAACCCAGTCCCTACTGTCCCCCCCCACGCCCGCCCCTGGGAGCGGCCCGCGCAGCCGAGCGGCAACAGCGCCGCCTAGTGGCGCCGCGGCGACACGCGGCCGGCGCCGGCCCGGAGGGCAGCGGGCGCCTTTTGGTAACAGACCAGGGGCCTGCGACCTGCATTTCCTGGTCTTCAGCCGAAGGAGAATCGGATTTGCTTTCCCACCACCGTGAGTTCCACGGACGCCCACATACGCGCTTGGGCTCGGGCTTCACAAGCTTGTGCCCCGGGAGCCGCCCCGGGGGGCATTTGGGGACCGATGCACTGATTCCTGAAGCGTTTAGGCCGACAGGTCAGTCAAGTCCTCTGGGGCTTGAAGGTGCACAAATCAATAGTAGTAAGTTTCCGGGCTCCCCGGGTGAAGTCATCCAGGGCTGACTTTGATTGATTTGTTCCAATTGCAGAATGAATCGGATATGACCAGAACAGGTGGCCGCCGCCCTCCCGGAGCCGCCTGTCGCTTCTCCTCCAGGCCTGTGATTACATGACGAGTTTTTTTTTCCGCACCTGCCGGTCCTTTCTGGCTGGGGAGGGAGCCAAGAAGCTGCTCCTTAGAGACAGCAGAAGCCCGGGACCTGTGTGTATGTAACTGACCCACCCAGCCACCCCCAGCCACCCCAGCGACTCCTGTAAGGACACCCTGTAGCCTGGAAGCCCCTGACGTGGCTGCTGCCAGGGCTAAGCTGTGCCCTCCCTGGCCCTCTGCCTCGTGACCACCTGGTGTCCCCCCACGCCCACCACCGTGAGGCCTTGCCCCCAGGGAGAACAAGCGCTGCTTTCCTGAGCCCCAGTGTCTTCTGGCCACACCCCACCATCGCGCGCACACAGACAGACCCACGAGACAGC